GGCCTGCATTAGCATATCATCTGGCCTGCATTAAATATCATCCGGCCTGCATTAAATATCATCCGGCCTGCATTAACATTAATGGGCCAATTTCTAAGACTGGGTAACGAATATATCGAGCAGTAAAAATTCATGTAACTTAACAAAAAAAAACACAAACAAAAAAATTTAAACGATAAGTAATAAATTAATCATTTTATTTATTTCGAATAACTCAATAAACGTATTATTTATTATAGCCAGAAAATATTCTAATTATGGTTTTCTAAGTATTTGGAATATTACGTAATCATCCAATTTATGCAATAGCATAAAGTTTTTATTATTAATACTGAACCATTTATTACTATTGTTTTCTCAGTAATTTTTTGTTGCTGTTCTGGATTCAACATTAAAAATTAAATCTTGATTAATTTTTATAATTTATTTCGATTTTCATTCTTTTTTCGTTTATTGTCAATAGAATTTGGTTACGGCAATCAACATATATTTTTAGAATAGTGTGTTTATTGGATTTAATGCTTTTAACAATCGTTTTTCACTTTAAAGAATCGAAGAAAACAAATCACTTACTAAATCAATTATGTTGATATCATGAATTGATGATTCCGAAACTTTTTTGGGTATTTGTTTATCATTCTTTATATATATGCGTATACTTGATTAAATTTTTTTTGCCGTTGGTAGTTCTTACTTACTATTCTTTGTTATAATAAATATAACCATTATTAAGTCATTTTTTAAACAACATTATTATAACATAGGTGTTAATAAACCGATTTGACTTATTTTGAAAAACTTGGACCAGACCCAGATTATAATCAAGGGCGTGCTAAATGTATTTAAAATATATTATTTTAACAAGAAATTATATTTTTAGTGATCATCTTTATTTATATTTTTATAATTCATGAAAAATTAAAAAACTTTAATATATTCCGCGAATCCGGGTGAATATTTTCAAATATGTAAATCGAAGAAATAAAAGGTCTCAACCTATATCAGTAACATGTAAATGAATCACGAATTCAGGGGTAATTAATTAACCCATGACAATCATGCAGGACAGGACAATGTGATTCCATTGAAAAAAGTTCGCTAAGAACAAAACATGTGTTAGGTTTAGGGTATTGCTAGTGAGTTGTGTTTGGAGGACTATTTTATACTAAAGTTTTGCAAGGAAAACTTTTTATTGGTATGCAGAAGGCAGTTACATAGGCAAAATTTTGAGATATGGGCGTCTTTTTCTTTTTTCACGTTACACCCGATCTCGAAATCTGATTGGCTAGCGAAATTGTTTGACTGGTATTAAATACTGTTGCAGTAAACCACGTTAAAGTCATAGCGAACGTAACTATATGAACTCATGGTGAGGCACGTACGTATAAATTTCTTAAATATAAGTCGACCCATATGCACCGTATTTATAAGAAAAAAGAGGCGTTGATCATAACGATAAAGCGCCGATTACATACCAATTAGGTCAAATTGCCATCAAATAAGAACTAAAACAATTACTTTTTTTTTTTTTTTACTGCAGTATTACACTTTGTTCCTCGTAAAATATAAAAAATTTGTGTTTACTGATTAAATTTTTTTTTTAAAAAAAAAAACCGAATAAACATGACATTTAAACTTTTTGAAAAACTTTCCAATAATTACATGCAGCTTCTGGAAAATGGATATGACTTTAATGTGATTATTGAAGTCGGAAATTCACCCGACATTAAGGAATTTAAGGCACATTCGACTATTTTAAAATATAGGTCATTATATTTTCAAAATGAATTAGAGAATATTACCAAAGATTCGACCAACATGAGAATAATTCATTTAAAATCAAATATTTCTATCCAACAATTTGATATTTTCATCAAGTAAGTTACACATAAAGTTAACCGTTTTTATAATTTCATATCAATTGACTTCTTTTTTTTTTTGATATAATAAAGGTATATTTATGGTGGATTAGTGATTTTAGACAATTTTGACGCTCAATTTATTTTCGACCTTATGTTATCTGCTTATGATTTACTTTTTGAAGAGTTGACGGAAATTCTTGAAATTTATTTAATTAAGACTATGCCTCATTGGATACGTTCTCATTTTATTCAGGTTTATAAAATAAGCTTCCAAAATAATAGATTTAAAAAATTGCAAAGTTGGTGTAACGACATCATAACAAAATATCCGGGTCTTATTTTTGATTCCGAACATTTCACCTCTTTTAATGAAACTATCTTAATTTCACTTATTAAACGTGATGATTTACAAATGGACGAAATTAAAATTTGGAATTTTATTATCAAATGGGGAATTGCACAAAACCATAGCCTACCTACTAATCTTGAAGACTGGACTGATGAAAATTTTATGACTTTAAAGGTTACTCTAAAAAATTTTTTACCTCTAATTCGTTATTTTCAAATCTCTAGTGAAGATGTTGCAAATTATATAATGCCATATTCTCAAATTCTTGAAAAAAAACTTTGGATTGATTTGACTAAAATATTTATGATACCTAATTACCAAGTATCTTCAATAATTTTACCATCTCGAATTATTTTAAAACAAAAATTACCAAGTAGGACGGCAGAATTACCATATAATGTAATTGGAAATTTGAGAATAGAAGCAAGAAAATGTTTTAGGCAAGGCGAATTTCTTAAAGCATTAGAATTTTATGAAGAAATTCTCAAGGACAGCAATCACAATATTGAAGATCAAAAACTTGCTTCATCTTGGGATCTCACACGTCTGTGTGAACCAGAAAAAATAAACGAGTTAATAAAAGCAATTAGTAAGAATACTACCTTAACTTCCTTAAATCTTTCTTCGAATGATCTTGGATCAGAAGAAGTAAAGGCATTAGCAGATGCTCTTTGCAAGAACACCACTTTAACTTCTTTAGATCTTTCTTCGAATAGACTTGGATCAGAAGGAGGAAAGGCATTAGCAGATATGCTTTACAAAAACACTACGCTGACTTATTTGAGTCTTGGATATAGTGGTATTACTTTTAGTTTAACTGCTGGTAATAATATTGGGCCAGAAGGGGGAAAAGCATTTGCTGATGCACTTTGTAAGAACGCCACGCTGACTGTTTTAGATCTCTCTTCGAATAATCTTGGATCAGGAGGAGGGGAAGCATTAGCTGATGCACTTTGCAAAAATATCACGCTGACTTCTTTAGATCTTGGTAAAAATAATCTTGAATCGGAAGGAGGGAAAGCATTAGCTAATGCACTTTGCAAAAACACTGCGCTGACTTCTTTAGATCTTCAAGATAACAATCTTGGGTTCGAAGGAGGACAAGCATTAGCTGATGCGCTTTGCAAGAATACCACTTTAAATTCTTTAAATCTTTCTTTGAATGATCTTGGATTAGAAGGAGAAACATTAGCCAATGCACTTTGCAAGAACACTACGCTTACCTCTTTGGATCTTAGTTTTAATGAACTTGAATCAATAGGAGGAAAAGCATTAGCAGATGCGCTTTGCAAGAACACTACACTGACTTCTTTGAATATTCAAAATAATGATCTTGGATCAGGAGGAGGGAAGGCGTTAGCTGATGCACTTTGCAAGAACTCCACGTTAACTTCTTTGAATATTCAAGATAATAAACTTGGATTAGATGAAGGAAAAGCATTAGCTGATGCACTTTGCAAGAATACCACGCTGACTTTTTTAGATCTTCGTGATAATAATCTTGGATCAGAAGGTGGAAAAGCATTAGCTGATGCACTTTGCAAGAATACCACGCTGGCTTCTTTAGATCTTCAATATAATAATCTTGGATCAGAAGGAGGAAAAGCATTATCTGATGCACTTTGCAAGAATACCACGCTGACTTTTTTGGATCTTAGTTATAATGATCTCAGATATAGGGGAGGGAAAGCATTATCAGATGCACTTTGCAAGAACAATACACTGAAAAAATTGGTTATTTACCATAACGATATTAATTTTGCTGTAAAATCTAACAACCGAAATATTAAAATATTTCAATATTTCAACGGCAAATAATTATGTAATTCATGTAACTAAATAAAGTACGCAAACTGGCGTCCTTTTAGAAAGGGTTCAAAAAAAAAAAAAGTCCCAATAGAATGTAATCGTACATTATGCAATTAATGTTATACTATTATTTTTCTGCCACAAATATGTGTCCACTTCTTATATTTATCATTAGTAATACTACAAAATTTCATATTAATGATAAAGTTTCATGTTATTTGTATTAAATAAATTTAAATTTTGCATACAATTTTGGTAATTGGATTTACACATTTGCGATTGTTTTGATCATAAGGCGATCCCAATTTAATTCGGTGGTTTACATTACCCCCCCCCTCCTTTTACCTCCCCCCCTCCTTCATAGAAAAGGTTTTTTAATTTTAAGCATACTTCTGAGAATGCGAAAAAATGAATAAAAATTATGTATTTACTGCAGATCTTATGTATGACTTCATAATTATTATATTTGATAAACGTTTTAAATAGACTTCTATATTTTGGTTAATTATTATTACATAACGTTAAAGTACGTATCTGATTCTTAAAGAATTTCACACTTTTTTGAATTATCGATAAAATGTTTTATATTCATGTAATAGTCGAAGATCCTCCTAAGGTATTATATGAAAGAGCTGTAAATATAGCTCATATAATAGATACCGGAACCTTTGAGGATTTACTTTTAGAGGTGATCAGCAACCAATTTTTGGATAAACATGTTCTTGTTTTTGGCCGTGAGAAAAAAGATGATAAATGGATATTGCTGCAAGATGGGTTAACTGATTATTTGTAAGCATTAGCTCAATTAAACTTTAAAATGGTCAGATTTCTATTTGAATCTTCTAAAATACAAGAAATTGAATTACCTATTAAAGATGCAAATTCTGTATTGATGAATAATACCAAGCAATTTCGTTTACCTAAGAAATTAACACGAGGAAATAGTCATGATCGTTTATATAATGAGCTAATTGATCTTTTTGAAGAAAAGGGTGGAGGATGGTTAAACGGAATGCAGGATACAAGAGGCAAAATATTTATAGAGCGCTTATCAAATGCTTTATGGTATATTGATCCACATATTAAACTGCTTCAAGATCATGCATGTCATATGTCCTCTTTATTTAAACAGCTAGCAACTTACAAAGTTGGATCTATTTATAATAATTTTTATTTTACTTCGTATCATAAAAAAGAGAAACTTTCTCAATTAAAATTAATTGAACATTGTAAATTAATAGAATATAGTGCAAGTGAGATCTGGGCAAGTGAAAAATATTGGGCTGAAATTATTTCTGAAATTTTTAGTCTTACAAGTATGATACAAAAATATGCTAAGCATTTACAAAAGTCTTCTCAACTTACTTATAATGCACACCATTCTACTACAGTAGTCCGCACACCTAATAAATATAGCAAATTATTAATAATTTTAGGTGTTTTAAATATTAATTCTAAATATAGAAAGTTAGAAAAAATTCTTGCTAAAAAGGATTTTTATGAGTTTATTGAAATTTCTGAATTTCTTCCAACTGAAAGTATTAAACATCATTGATGGATTGTAGAATTAAAATTATCTTTTCCAATTTGCTTATATAGGTAATTTTTTATATTTAAATGTACTAATTTAAATTAATAAATAAATATTTATTTATTTAGATATAGTCAAGGAAACTATCTTGGAAATATTAATTATGTTTGGTGAATTATTGAATTTGACTATAATTCTGATGAGCATAAAACCTGCAATGCTCAAACATTAGCTTCAGTTAATGAAAAAATTTCACAATATATGACCTGAGAAATGAGAAAATCTTTTACAAATAAAGTAAATATATAAATTATATTAAAATAATTTAAACTATTTAAAGTTTTATTAAATTAAATTTACTTATTTGTTATTTTAATATTCTTTAATAAAGACTTTAAATCCAATTATTCTTAATATGCTATATCAAGATCTTACAAGTGATACTTCTGCTCCTAATACAAATAGTAAAGAAATACAAGAATGTTTATAATTAATACTAGAACTTGATGATCCTGATATTATTTTTGATCTTCAAACAAATAATGAGTTTAATAAAACTAAATTTGATTTTTTTTGGAATGAACTACAATCATTTTTTAATGAAATAATTATTTAAAGTTTTATGTATTTGTTATATTTAATTATTAAATAATATTAAATTAATTAATTAGAATACTCCAGCAGTAAATAATCGAAGATATGGAAATATTTTATATATGCCTTGGTTTATTTCTATATGAGACCTTCAAAAAACTATTATTCAATGACTTATACTTCAATTTGGTGATTCTCTTCCTAATACAATTTATATACCAAATTTAAAGTGGATTCAGCTACAATTCTGGTCAACAAATTTGATAGTAAATAGTGTAATAAAATATTATAGAAAATTTAAAATTAAATACAAAGTTCAAAATTGAAAACTTCAAATATTTCATCCTGATATACATTATTGTACAGCTTATTATCATTACTTACATGAATTTGTAATTTTATATCAAAAATATACATGTTTTATTTTAGTTGATGATAAACACAAAATTCTAATTGGTGAAAAGGTTTCTATTTCTACTAGAATTAGAAATAGATAATCATTAGTTCTATTAGCTTATAATTTTTCTGAATGTGATCATGATTTTATTAAATTACCAATAACTTCTTTAGTTATATTTTTTTGTAAAGTTCTAAATAATATTTCAGAATCCTTTTATAATGGTAATGTTTATGTTGGCTATAAAGATACTATTTTTGAAAGTAGCAATGCAATTCAACATATAACAGAATTTTTTCAAGCAATTAATCAAAAATTTTTAACTGAAATACCACCACTTTTATGTATATATACAGATGGCAGTTCTAATTATAGAACAAATTTTGAATCTGTTCAAATTTCACTTATTTTATTATTTCTTAAAGGGGATTTTGATATGCTTATTGCAATGAGAATAGAATCATATTATAGCTGGGCAAATCCTGCTGAAAGAATCATGTTTATACTTAATTTAGGTTTACAAAATACTGCACTAGTATATAATAAATTTAGCAAAAAAGAAAAAAAAATTTTTGAGCAATTAAATACACTTGATAATATTAGAAAAGCTGCAAATAATAATATAAATCTAAAAAAAGAAATTCAAAATAGCATTACTAATATTAAAAATCTTTTATATATATAAACTAAATGACTTGTTTTAAATAAAAATTTATTTAGTTGTTATATTTCTGTATCAAATACTGATATTGATGAATTATTCTAAGTAAATTATTTTTTAAATATATATAAATTTACTTTAAAACTTATTTAATTTGTTTAAATTTTTAGGAAATAAAACTTATTAATGAAACTCTTCAAATTAATGAAACTACTTGAGCAAGTTTAAGAAAATATAGTAAATTAATGGAGTTCTTAAAATCTTATTGTTAACAATCATTTTATAAAAGTTAAAACAACTCTCTTCTGCAGATCCTTCAACCAAAATCATCAAGAAGCAAAATAAAAAACAACACAAAAACACACTAAAAAACAACACCTTGACTTATAACAAAAAAGATAGAGTAGCAAAAGCCACATATAACCAAAGACAAAAACAGAAACTAGAGTTTTTTGGCAATATAGTATAAAAACAAAAAGCAAAAGTTTCAACAAAAAGTTTAGTTTTTAGAAAACTTTTGGAGAATAGCTGTGACCTTGTTGTGCAGATCACTTAGGTTACACAAACATGAAACAAAACAAACAAAGCAAAT